CACAAATCACCGTAACATGTGATCCCCTATAGCCTCTCTCCTTGTACACTCAACTCATGTTAAACATTTATTTTCAATCTTTATCTCTCACAATAATGGTAAAGTTGCATCAATTGCATTAAAATTTCTCTATCAATAAAATACAAAACATCCAAAAAAATAAGAATTCCCATTGAACAAACTTTGAACGACTTTGTTGATTTTAATGCTTTCATCTTTTACAAAACATTAATTGAAGGATGTTAATACTAAAAAGGAAATAATTAAGTCTTAAGAGGGAAAAAAGCATAAAAATATTTACCCAAAAATGCGATGATTGTGAAGAAAGCAGAGCAAATTGAAATGGATCTTGACAGGTATTTATACAAAGGAACCAAAAAAAAAATCCGTTTTAAATCTTCTCATTTTTGATGCAATAAAAGAATTGAAGAGAAATATTTGCTGTTGTTGACATGAAAGTTGATTAAAGTCATGATAAATTGATTTTTATTATGAGTTTATGGAGCATGGTAGGATTAGGTTAATTGGGGTAGTTTAAATTTAGATTTTGAAGATCTTCAATGAGTTCTCATTTATTTTTAAATATTAAATTTAAAATAAAACTACAAATTTTAAAATTTCTCTTTGTTTTAAATTTTTTTCAATTTCTTAATTTTTTAATTTTTTCAATTTTTTCAATGTTTTAAATCTTTTCAATTTTTAAAATTATTTCAAGTTTTTAAATCTTTTCAATTTTTAAAATTATTTCAATTTTTTAAATCTTTTCAATTTTTAAAATTATTTCAATTTTTAAAATTATTTCAATTATTTAAATTTTTAAATTATTCCAGTTTTTTAAAATTTTTTCAATTTATATTAAAATTTTTTAACTTTCTTTCTATTTTAAAAACAATTTTTTTTGTTGAAATAGTAAAATTTTAAATTAAATTAATCGTCGAAAGGATGAATCTAGGAAAACTTAATATTCCATGACCTATAATCTTCAGTAACACAATATCCTTCATCCTACGCCAAAAAAGATACAAATCAAAAAGTGAAAAAAGAAAACATCAAAAAACATCCTTCTTCTTCTTTATTTAAACAGTAGCCAGCCTAACACAGCTACTAGAAAAAAAATAGAGAAAAATAATGTTGAACCTTTTTAAGTGGAAATGAATTGCGAAAGGTGAATTTTTTTGGTAAAAAAAACTAGATGTAAGCAAAAAAAAGTTCTTTCATTTTCTCGGTTGACTGATTTTTTTTCGGCTGTTTCATTTTAATTTGTGTGAGATCTTTCTTTACTGAGTTGTAGATAAACGAGATGGAAGATGAAGTTTGAGAGTTAAGGTATTTTAATGATTTAATGGGATTTAATGAGTTGTAAGGGTGGTCTGGATATGTTGGATTTAATGTTAAAGAGATTTTGATGTAAGAATGAGTATCAAGAGTGTGGTTAGACATTTTTCGAGGTTGGTGTGGATCTTTGCAGGTCACCAGAAATGTTTAAAATCAGTTTTGTTAAGATATGATCAGTTTTTGATAAGTTTTGTTCGATTTCGTTCAGTTTTGGTTCGTTTTCGTTCAGTTTTGATCAGTTTTCGTTCAGTTTTGTTCATTTTTGTTCGTTTTCGTTCAGTTTTGTTTGATTTCGTTCAGATTTAATTCGTTTTCGTTCAGTTTTGATCAGTTTTCGTTCAGTTTTGTTCATTTTTGTTCGTTTTCGTTCACTTTTGTTGAGATTTGTTCGATTTCGTTCAGTTTTGTTCGATTTCGTTCAGTTTTGCTCGATTTTGTTCAGTTTTAATCATTTTTGATCATCCTTAATCAGTTAACATATTAAAAAGAAAAAAATACATAAATTCCACTATAAACCATACTTTGCAGTCAATTGTAAACTTAAAATCAAAACTCATCAACATTATTCAACAAAATTATTCTAAAATTCCTGCAGGATGATCACGTTCCACAGCATCTAAAAAAACTTGAACAAACAAATCAAAAATTAAAATTTTTTTCCGTTAAAAACGTGTCTGTAATTTCACATCCTTCACTTCCTAATCAACCCTCAATTCTATTTAATTCCGGGATGCTTAAAAAAAATTATTTTTTTTAATATTTTAATATAAAATTCCACTTCAAGAAATTTTCAAGTGCATTTACATATAATGAAATATTATAAAATTAAAGAGCATTTCAGGTCTAATCTGCCTCTTTAGCCAGCATTCTTTCATATCTAATAAAATGTCATCAATTTTAATGTTTTCATAAAAGATGAGTGCAATAACACAATTACTGCATAAAATGGCATTTTACAGGGACAGTTGTGATGCAATAATTAAGTCGAGTGCCATTGAAAAAAAAATTGTTTGTGCAATTATTAAATTCTTCTCTCTTCCTTATTTCCTCTTATTCGCACAAGTTTGCACAGCTTGATGAGGAAAAATTTTGTTTCAATATTTGATTTATGATTTTTTTCTGTTGCTTACAAAACAGAAAATGAGGAATTGGAGATTAAAATATTTTAAAATGAATTTAAAGCGACTTTTTTGATGGAGAATTTTGGAATGCATAATGAGCTTGGATTCCTGTAGTTTCGGACTTGTCTATCCAAAACCAAATTTCAGTTCAAAATTAGAATAATTTGTCCAAAACATAATAAAATTGTCTGTCCAAATAAACCTCAATTTGCTAATTAATCAATTTTAGCTTTACTAGTTTTGGTTTATAATTCAGCATCAAAAGAGAGTTTGCTCTAAATTTATAGTTTCAAACAAAAGCCTATGCAACATAATAAAGCACAATCCTGATTAAAATTCAATTTTAAACACACCCTCTTTTAATGATTAATTAAAAGTTGCATAGTAATAAATCAAATACAGAATCGAAGCCTCAGGAAATTGAAAAATATTTCATTATTCAAAATTTCGCTCGCTTGCAACAATTTAGTCTCATCATCAGTGCAACAAGTAATTTTTGAAACACAAAATTGGCATGGAAAAGTTTTCCTATTCAGATTATTTTTATTTTTATCCTCAATTCAAATTAATACTCATCAGATGATTCTCATTAATTAGCACGTAATTTTTAATGAATTTTTTATTTATCTCAAAAAAGTTGTTTATTCACGTCTGATGAGTAGACCTCATCACTGTGGAGATACTGAGAGATACATGCAAATTATAATGAATTCGAGTCTATGTAGAAAAATGATGAAGAGCTGTTGAATTTATAAAATTTAAATTATTTGAGGTTGCTCACCTTTTCTGACTTCTCCGGTTTTGCTGAATTTATGTCAATTTTATTCAGTTTTCCATTCTTTTTCGAATTTCACATTTATCAGTCTAAATGTTGATACGAACAATTCATGTGCGACAGACTTATCGAAAGTCTAGGGGAGTTATAATATGCACGTTCGAAAAGTTTAAATTTGAAAGAAACCGTTACAATTTTAGTAGAGTTTTTGATCATTTTAAAAAAGATTTAGCTAAATTATGCTTATCATTAAATGGCTACATAATATTTTCATTTAAATTTCATACAAAACTTGTTTAATTAAAGTTTTTGATTTTTCGAAAATTTCGAACTGCAGGGTATGAAACTTTACATTTTGTATGGCAGACAGACATTTTCACAAGTTTTCTTGGAAACTGTAACGGTCGAAACTCTTGAATTGTTCGTGTCAGCATATCTGAAGCCGGTTTCTAGGACTAGGTAGTCTAGACTATCTAGCACACACCAAATTCTTAGATAAATTGTATTTTTACCCTAAAACAGTGATTCTCAAATTTTTTTGGTCCATGTCACATTTTTCTCCTTAAAATTTTTCGTGGTACACAGTTTGAGAACCTCTGCACTACAAGAACGTAGCCAGACATTTTTCAAAAGGGGTTTGTAAACTTTTTGTATCTTAAAAATCAAGGGCAGATTTTTTTTGGATTTTAATCAATAAAACCCCTCGAAAATTGAAGTAGTTTTAAGCAAGGGAAGGGGAACTCTCATTAACTCCCATCGTCTTCATCTCCCTGGCTAAGCGTTTAACACTTCATATTATAGTCCATCGATGGTGGGTCCCTAAAGAGCCCTAGAAACTAGAAAATTTTCCCGAATTCCCAGTTTTGCAAAATTTTTGATTTCGGTCCCGAAAAATCCGGTATAGGGAAATCGGGATAGCCTAGAAACCATTCACAGTCTATTTTATGACTGCTTAAGTTGTTTATTCTCTGTTCAACTGAGTCTAGTCAAAAAACATGTGACACAAAACTCTGGAGAAAATTTATAATTAACTTTTTTTGAGTCCCTCCTCTCCACAGGTTCGGACCCTATTGGACGTCCCTTTTTGTACAACACACAGTGATTTCCCATCAATTCTAGAATTATATTGCATACAAAAAGCCAACACAGTAGCTTCGTTATGTTAATAAAAATAGGTTGGGTATAACACAGCCTTAGATTGATACCAATTATCTAGTAATTATTATAAACTAATATTTATTGTGTTCAGTAAAAACAATTATTCATCGTAGGTGTTGGAATTCTTACTGTAAATGAACTAAATTTAATCTTGTTGACAAGCAATGATCTTAGATTTATTTTTGGCTGTTTTTATCATCAAATAATAATATTGACGAGCTAGTCAAGTGGAAAAAATTATTTTTCCTTCAATTAAAATATTTTTCATAATTATCAAAAATAATTGAAAATGTCAAGCAATTGAGCAATTCTAAATATAGCTTAATTATTTTCCAATTCAAGAGATTTTCAAGTCACGTCGTTGAAACATCAACAACCCCCCAAAATGAAAATATTTATATGTTTATAGCGACGTGCCAAATAAATGCGTGGGGAAAACAAAGTAAAGTTACCATGGATTGACTATTTAGTGACCGGTTTCCATGACCCACAATCAATAAATTTTCTATTTTCCACAAAACTTAACAAAGTTTTTCACCATTCCAATAGCTTCTTGTTATTCTCAAGTGAATTACGATAGAAGTAAGTCGAAGACGTGGCCACTGTAAAAAATGTCAATTGTGAGGATAACAAGCCATAATGAGAATATTTATAACATTGAATTGCCAGACGAGAAGAAGATCTCAGCGAAGAAAGCAATTATGTGAGTGAACCTTAATTTTGCATTTTTATTTGATTTTCTTCAAGTGCATTTTTGCGGATGGAATTGCATTCGCTAAGGATTAAATACCTTATTGAATTGCTTATTGGATTATTAAATTTGTTATTGAGCTTGCTGATTAAATTGATTTGAAATTAATGGCTCAATTTGTAGCTTAATATCTGAGCTGACTGACTTTTTAATTGAGTTGCTGACATTTTGAATGATTTGAGTGACTGGCTGTGCTAATTAAGTGAGAAATTTGCAAGTCAGTTGCCTGGTTAGCCCCTGATTGATTGGTTTCTTTTATTGCCTTACTGCTTGACTGGATGGCTGTATGACTGACTGCTTAACTGCCTGGCTTACTGCATGTTTGGGTTTTTAACTGTTTTACGGACTGAGTGCTTGATATACTGTATATCTGATTGGATGACTGTCTAGTTGAATAAACTTTGTGACTAGCTGACTGCCTGATTTTTCGATTTGTTGAGTACTTGCAGTCTTGATTGACTTAACAGATTGACTTTGGTACTTTATTGTTTTTCTCCTTTACTACCTTACTACTTTGCTACCTTAATACCCTACAACCTTACAACCTTTACTCTTTGACTGCTTCTTAATCAGATCTTTCAGAAAGGCTTCAAGTCAAATATTGGTAACTATTAAAATTTCAAATCATAAAGTGATTAAGTAAGAAACTAATCACAACCTCAATCCACCAAAAATGCACTTACATCCCCATTCATTCAGAAAATTCTTCCTCACTAGTTTTCCTCTCCATGATGTCAGGTATCAATCTAAATTCAAGAAATCAATTTGCGAAGCTGAGAAGGAATTGAAAAGTAATAAATTTATGCAGCACAAGACATTTGGTCTCCCCGAAGAAGCATCAAATGTGACAGCAGATAAATTTCTTATGAAAGACGATGGAATTGCTCGACATTACATTCGTCCCAAGACAAGTCATCCAAAATGTGAATCACGTCGACCACCTGTACCGAAACATGATGAGCTAAACGTAACTGCATCTATGATGAATTTATCTGAGAAGAACTTTAAGGTAATCAACATTAAACGTGCAAAATCAGCAGTCATTAGGAATCCACCAGGTCCAAAATGCTTCGAGCAAAAGTCACCAGTTTACATCTACATGCCAAAATTTGGAACGACACCAAAATATTTAGAAAAAAGGAAGGAACAAATGACAGAAATGAAAGAAATGACACAACGGCAAAAGGAACGAGCAGAACGAGAAGAATTGATGAGGAAAATTCGAGAAGTTACCCAACCAGAGAGGAAAAAATTGTTGGAAGGACTCAAGCATAATTGGCATAAAATGCAAGAAGAGTATCAGAAGATGCCATTACTTATTGATTCCGTACCGAAAATGATACGAAAAACGAAATTGGAAAATAATTTGAAGAGTCTCGAGAATGACATTTGCTTGCTTAATACGAATTCAAGTCGCATATTTGTTGTTCCAAATTAAAGAAAGATTGTTGAACTGAGTGTATTCTTTAGCAAGACGAGAGTATAAAGTCTGAAGAAAAATTAAGACTTTTGATATAAGAAGCACGTGGTTGAATTTGTTTGGAAAATGCACAAAAAAGACTATTTTTGACAGTATTGCTTAAAAAGGGGTGTAAAACTACGAGACAGGTTGATCTAGGCTTAACCTTTATCTTAACTTACCTTAGTCTATACTTAACCTATACCTAACCTATACCTCACCTATACCTAGCCTATACCTAACCTATACCTAACCTATACCTAACCTATACCTAACCTATACCTAACCTATACCTAACCTATACCTAACCTATACCTAACCTATACTTAACCTATACCAAAATCTTACTAAGACCTAACCTCGATGCAATCTAGCCAAGACTTTAGCCGACTTAAATATAGCCTAATCAGAATAGTAAGTACATCCTTGAGCACTAATCTGATCTTAGTCCAACAATTTACTTTCCACAGCTCCTTAAATACCAAATCTTCTATATCTTGAGTCATGCACAGAAGCTTATTAAATTTCACCATTACTCAACTGAAAAGGACTTCAATAAAAGAAATTGCTTGTGGCTTTATTCAACAAGGTGTCGATGACATTTCTATTCCTTTATATATAACAAAATTATTCACATTTGTGGCTAGGATTCAAGCACTTTCTAAATTGAAATTTAATACCTTTACATCTCCAATGAGACCACATGTGCTGCTGACTATGTGAAACTGTACTGAAACCAATTTTGCACTTAAACTTAACTTTCATTGTAAATAAATTGAAATGAATAAATTTTCTAAAGAGTGTGAAAATAAAAAGTAATTTTACACAATAAAAGTTGAAACTTTCTTTGCAGTCAGTGGAATTTTATTTAGTAGCTGCTTCTATATAGAGTGAGGAAAAATTCCATTAACAATAAAATTACATTTTCAGTCAATGAAAGAATCCTTTTGAATAGGTTTTTGATGTAACTTGATGTGGAACTTCTGGTTGCTCTGGGTGGCTGTTCGGGATAAGGGATGATTATTAATTGCATGCATTTGACGTTAAGCTTTGTCTTTCTGAAAGCTTGTCGTTCATGTTCCGAATCAACAAAGTTTGGGCTATTTGCCCACACCCCCCGCCCCCTCCTCTCCCGAATTTGTGGATAGTGTCTATGGTCTGACATACAGAAGATTCTCAATGTGCCTAGCTGTTTGGGATTAAAAATCATTAAACAAATCAAGGATCCTCTATAATCCTTCTTGATGGCATCAACTTGCTATCCTTCATACACCCCAACGACTCCATAACTTATTTTCATACTCACCGCACAAAAAAAAGTCATAAAAATTTTCTCTTTTATTTCATTTCACAACAATTTCATTTAAAAAGCCACAAAGCTGCTCTGAATAGAGAGATTGCGAATGTAATTGCAGTTAAACAAACATAAAATATGCTTTACAATGGCACAAAAAAGAGAGATGTAGCATAAAAGAAAGAATAACAAAAGAGCCAAAAAGTGACCATTCATTGAAAGTCGGTAGAATGTCAAATTCTTGTGAGAATTGTGCGGCAACAGGCATGAAGATGAAAAAGCATTTTAGAAAAGCAAAAAAGGGATAAATAGTAAAAGTGATGGCGATAATTTGCATTTTAAGAAAAGATTTTTTGGAATGGAAAGAAAAAAATTTAAATCCTCTTTAAATTCCCTTTTTTGCCATTCCGAAAAAAACTAAAATCTTTAATGGTGAATTCCATTCTTTTGCCTTTTGCCTCTTTTACATGCAAAAAATAATCATTACCGGTGCAAGATCGATAAATAGAGTACGAGAGATTCAGATGATGATAAACAAATATGGTCCCTTTTATGGTATTTATGTGGATTAACATTCCAGTTCTTCTTTTGTTTTTGTTTTTCAAAGTTTGAATGTTCTAAGCAGCACTTCGTGCATTGCACTAATTAAATTCAAGTTGATGTGCTTACAAAAATACTTTAATTCTGTTTATTAATTAGATTTTGGACTTTTGAAATCCTTTGAGTGCTGTGCTGTCTAGCAACAAATGTTGTTGTCTATTCTATTCTTATTTGATGCTTAGTTTTAGATGGAAGTCGTTGTTTTTGAATGTAATGAAATTATTGGGTTCATACCGACAATTGCCCGCTGACAAGGCTTGCCCACTCTACATATGCTCACTGACCAAAAGTCAGAAGTCACTGAAAAGTACCGGTGGGAAAATGTAAAGTGGGCAAGAGTATGTGGGCAAATGGCTCAAACCAAAAATATCGTATTAAAAAATTACAGAAGTCCTCGTGTTATTGATCGAGCGCATTTTTGTGTTAGCGATCAGTATTAGATTATCTAAATACTAATTTGTAGCAATGAATTTCCATAGCGAAAAGGTTTATCATTTAACGGTTTTTTGAAATTCAGATTTTACAACAGCTGGAAAAAATTGAAATTATAGAGGTAATGTTGAAATTATAGAGGTAAAATAAAATTTGGGCAGGTTACACTGAAAACAAAACAAAAATTTATCAATTATAGCATAAATACACTGTTTCAAGATTTTTAAGCATTCGATGGGCCGATAAATCGATAGTAACAGAGATAATAAAACAAACGCGAGCTCTCTACGATGTGTAATTAAAAAGTTTTTCTTCGCCCGAACAGCCGAACAAAGTGTATTATTAAGCTACCTTTTAGAAACAAGTTTCAAAAATGCACTAAAAAGGCACAATTTGGATGAATTCCTAAAGACAGTCAAACTTGTTCAATCTTTTTTTAACTCTTAAAATCATCAAAAATGGCTCAATTAATAAAAACAAAAATTAATCTTCAATATTGCAATTTTTAATGCGATTCCAACAATAATTCAGTTTTAAGTTTCAATCAAAAACTCAATTTCATATTTATTTTCCGCATGTTTATTCAGCTTCTGTTGTTCGCTTTTAATTGCTTCAATTTTCTCGTTGGTTTCATTCATTACTGAAAATTTAATGTAGCATTGACCTATGAAATTAAAGAGAGATAATTTAGTTGTGGACTTTTTGGTAAATACATAAATAGTTTAAACAATCGAAGCATATAAAGGGGATTTGGGTATTAAGTTACTAATTAGAATTAAGGAAATAATTGTTGTGTGTTTTAAAATGGGTCATGGGAGTGGAGTGATGGTTATGTGATGATGTTATAGATTATTTTAATTATTTTGAACATTTTATGAATGATTTTGAGCTTCAATGTTAAGGTTTAATGCAGTTTGATGCCTTACATTAAGTTCAGCTTGATTTCGAATTTTATAAAACTAGATTTTACATTCAGAACTCTTCAAAAAAGCAATTCGACATCTAATTGGCACTTTTAAGCTATGCCAATCCACAATTCTTGAAAACACAACAAAAATCAGTCAATCAAAGCATCAAATCAATTTCCAGTTCAAATTCCCCAGCAGATGGATATATTTCTACGTCTATTCCAATCCAGCATCCCTAACAGACACGCATCTTCATTTCCTAATGCACTAAATAATCTCATTTTTCGACTTTGTCAGATCAATGAAACACAAACAATTGAAAATAATTTCCTAGTTGATCGAAAAAGTCGATCGAGTCTGAATGGAAGAAAAACAAAAGGAATTAAGCGGAGAAATAAAAGAGATAAAAATTCATTCATCCAATAAGCGATTAAAATCAATTTTTGTTCATGTTTTTTCAGACTTCGAACAATCAACGACTGTACAGATGTTCATAATTCACAGTGTTTGGGATGCATGCGTGTGGGACAGGGGTGTAGCTGCAGTAGCTGTTTGATTCTGGAGGTATGTTTTAAGGTTTTGGTAATTTAAAGTTAAACATTACTTTGAGTATGTTCTTGACCTTAGTTTTGGTAAGAAAAAAATATGTTTATCATAAATTTTGATTTTTGATGAAAGTCTTAGCCAGTTTTGAAATTCTTAAGTCAAACTTGATGGTTTAATCTTGGTTTAATCATGCTTTGATCATTATTGATTATTTTGAACTGTTTACTATCTTTTGCCAAACTCCTACTTCGCCTCGACTGCCTTTATATCAGAGATCTCTAGCTACACTTCTGTCTAAACCTCTTTTACACCCCAAACCTAACCTCCACCCCTGCATTCATCCCAACAAAACAGCAAAAAGCCAATTGATCACAAGTTTTTGCCTCAATAAATCGATTAAAATCAACATCGTCCACCATTTTTTGTCCATGCCTTTTTGTGTGTAGTTTTAGTTCCAATAATACAAATAAAAAAACATGGAAGAGATTCATAAATCACATAAACGAACATGACAAGTCACACACAACTACAAATGCATTGATTCCCCGCTGCTTTGATGGTGACAAAAAAATAAATAGCAAAACGTATGAACGGAGAGACGAAGGAAGACAAAAGAGAGTAGAGATATTGTAGTGATGGCAACTGAAAATCCGTACAAATGGATGAAAGGCACTCAAGCATTATGGCATTGCACTCTAATTTATTAACGTTCGAAACGTCAAACGATCTCCCTTTTTTTGTGCTTCTTTTGTTGCCGATCTTCTACTGCTCTGACATATAAATAGATATACTAAGCCACTCGGCAACAATGAAACAGATTAAAAAATATTCCCTTTTTTCGGCAATAGACAGGGGATTGAGATTATTATATTTCTTGTTTCGCTGTTTGCATTTAATTTTAATGTCTATGTGTGCTATTTGTTCATATTGAAGTGCTTGCCGTCGATGCCTTTCGCAAGTACTTACGATGCTACACATTGGAATGATTTTTGTTGTCTTCAACTTTTTTTTATAACGCATTAAATTTAATAATTTCTTTATTTTTTGTGTGTGTGATTTTATTAAGGTATGGCTTTGTGTGCCAGTTGATGTTTTTATTTTAGATATTTTGCTGGATTCATGTAATTTCGGAATTATTGCACATTAAATGGGAAAAATAGCAGTAAATTGGATTTTTAATTTAAATTTTGAAAATGGAA